GAAGGATATTGATAGTGTAAAATGCTGCAGAATATCAAAGGATAAGGATTTAGAAAACAATGTCAGAATTGGCATTTAGGAGGTCAACGATCATCTCTGGTAGATCATTTTCAGCTAAGTGTTAAGCAGAAATCAAATTGCCAATAAGACCCAGAAGAGTAGCAGTAATAAAGAAGGGAAACAGTTTTAGATTTTTTTAAAAAAAAGTTTAAGAAAAGACAGTAACTTCAGGGCAAAACAATCTCAAACCTGTATCAGAATCACTTTTACAGTTCTTGTTTAAATCACAGATTTCTGGACCTCACCCCCAGAATTTCTGATTCAGTAGGTCTTGGGGTAGGGCCAAAGAGTTTTTGTGTCTATCAAGTACTCAGATATGTTACTGTGGGTAGTTCAGGGACCACAGTTTGAGAATGACTTGTGACGATTGAGGAGAGCTTTTATTTATTTGTTTTGATTCATACCCTTGAACATTTTCTATAATGTTCAAGGATATGAACATAATGTGTCTAAAAGGGAAAGTGCAAGCAGAGATGGCGAGAAAGGAGGTGCAAAAGAGAGGAGTGAGAATAAAACTAATAAGTCATGAACTGAAGGAGATAAAGGAATCAATTATGTAAATAAAGGCAGTGGAGGAAACTTCTTATTTTCTGAGGAATGAGGAAAGTAGGAGAGCAAAAGAGAGAAGACAAAAAGGACTTCTTATGAGGAAAGAAGGGAGGTTGGGAGAACTTCTATGGAATCACTTTGTGGTAAAATCATTGAGAAGTGGGAGGCAACAGCTGATGAGAGTTAAGGGGAGGGTAGCTTGGAAAAAGTAGAAAAGAGTCCGGATGTCAGCTACTGGGAATTCAAAAGGAAGTCAACAAAATGAATAAAAGGCTACCTACTAGCAGTGGGAATCCAGCTGAAGTAGAATAGCTTGAATTTGAATAGCCTAAGATTTGAAAGGGAACAATAAGTTGAGACACAGAACTTAAAGAGGACCTATCTCCTCCCCCTGGGACAGTGCAGTATGGGGTATCTTATGTTAAAAGTAGGTAAGTACTTAGACTTTTTGAGAACTTTGAGAATTATTATTTTTTTCATTTCAGCTAGAAAATGTTCATTTTTTTCCTTTAAGCATCTGATTTTGTTTTACTTCTCAGGTTTTGACCAATTCTCCTCTTGTTCAAGTGATCTCCCACCTTTGCCTCCCATGTAACTCATCTTGAATTTAACATTGCAAGTGAAAGAGAGAAAGATACATTGTAGGGCTGGGGTTGTGGCTCAGTGATAGAGTGTTTGCCTAGCATGCATGAGGCCCTGGGTTTGATCCTCGGCAACACAAAAACATAAAATAAATAAAACATATTTCAGATGATCATTTCAAAGCCAGTTTCCTGGGAAAACATATAGGATACATGAGTAGGATACATGTAGGTTTTAGCCAATTAAGTCCTCAGTTATATGAATGTTTTTGTTTCACAATTATTGCCTTGCCCAATCAATTTCCTTTTACTGTTTGCCTAAAAATGAACCTTAGAGGGCTCTTGGGAAGTTCTGATTAAAGGCCATAGTAGAGGTCATAACTTCAGATGGCTGAGTGTTTCAAATAATTCCATTTATTACCTTGGGATTTGCTTGAATGCCTGTTCTGAAAACCATCCCCTGCAAACATTTTGGATATTTTGCAGTCCTGCATAAGTTTGTGTGTGTGTGTGTGTGTGTGTGTATATATATATATATAAAATTTAAATATATATTTAATGAAAATGGTATATTCATTTCACTGACAGTGTGAAATGAAGTAGAATGTTTGGCCTAAATTCACAGATGAGTATGCTTCCCTCCAAACTGAGCATAAATTAGGAAAAAATGTAAATTTCTAATTAAGGCTAAGAATTTTATAGCATTTCAGTGTATGAGAAGCTACATAGGCTTCTTAGGCCTCAAATCATTCCATTGGAATTAGGCATCTAGAGGCATCTAGAACTTCTTGTTCTGATGAGATATGGTATCTGCTTGTACCAATTTTATTCATAATTTCTGTGGTGTTTGGCTCCTTTCTGGTATTAATTCACAAACCTTGAATATTTTCTTAGTTTTAATGCAGTGCCTCTCATCTTCCAAGGGTACCCTGTTTACTGCAGCCTTTATCATTTTATATTGCTTCATACAATTCCAAACTTACAGGGTGTTGACATGCAAGGTTTCCTCTGGCCTTGTAGAAATATAGCCTTATTTAGAAATATATTTGGCTTATGGAAGACATTAAAGTCAGAAAGGGATAGAAACAAACACTCTGTGCAATTTGCCTCAGTCTCAAAGCATATATAATAATAATAGAAATAGCAGCAATAAAACTGAGTAATCAAAAGATCAAGAAAACCTAAGGACACAACACCTGGAGTCTTGGATCTAGATGACTAAATCTTTAAATTACAAGTATCACTTAAGAAAATCACTAAGTCTACTTTCTAGGGGACTGCAATGGAAAGGAATTCAAATAATGAAACCATGGGTCTTTTGTGTATTGAAAGCTTCTAAGAGACTTTAACACTTCAGTGATCACTGGCCAATTTGAATCCCTAGTATTTCTACTAGAATTTGAACCTTAATCTCTGGTAGTAATTAAAATTTAATTCTTATCTTTTCTAAAGTTATCAAAGTTATCTAAGTATATTTGTTTTTCAGTATCACAATGATTAGAGTCTAAGCGAATGTTCAACCTTTCACTTTTTATATTGCAGAATTTCTTAAATATAAAACATCTATGTAGTGTCACATTTCTGAAAGCTCCAAATCATTCTCTGAATGAAAAGGCCTTTATAATGTAGGATTTTTAATGGAATTAGAGCTATTTCAAATAAAACTTTCCTTAACATCAAATCTGTTCACTGGAAATTTTAATCATAGTAAGTTAACAAAGACAAGTTATTTTGACACATTTTTAATAGCTATTTCTGTCAAAACACCTGTTGAACAATTTTTTTTAATTTAAAAATACTTGTAAATACAAACATTTCTGTCATTGCAGTTCTATTTTTTTTTTGAGAAGCAGTACTTTTCTGCTTCTGCTTTCTTCAGAATTGTTCGTTTTGCCTTTATTTTCTTCCCACTATTGTACCAGTAAAGCCAAAACAATTTGATGTCTTTTAAAAATGTTTTGTGGATGCAGAAGTTCCAATCTATTGGAGATTCTTATTGCTGTATTCCAAAAGCAACTGCCATCACAACTTCTTAGCATTTTCCTCATGCAATTTAAAATTAAAACAGTATGAAGAGATTAAAAGGGCAGTTCTTTTTTTTTAAAGGTTTAATTTTTTAAACCTTTATTTATTTATTTATTTACTTATTTTTATGCGGTGCTGAATATAGAACCCAGTGCCTCACATGTGCTAGGCAAGCAGCTCTACCACTGTTCCACAACCCCAGGCCCCAAAGGGCAGTTCTTAGGTTTGGTTGATGAAATGACAAAAGAAGAAAAATATGTTGTAGAAAGAGGCAGAGAAATCTAATTTAGGACATTTAAGACTTATTAAGGGAGCAGAAAAGAACTCACTCATTCCCCATCTTTGACATTGCTAAGTTCAACTCCAAAGGAATATCAGAGTTGTTGTATGAACTATGTAGTTGGTAACATTTTGTAAAAAAAAAATAAGCCTGGATTTCACTGTCTTGAATAACTACTAACCACTAGAGGAGAGAAGCACAGGAAATACCTTTCTATCAAATAATCAAAACCTTGACAAGGAGTCTTAAAACAACTTTTATATGGTGAGCTAACCACGATATGCTGTTTGGAAAAGAATATGCCTTTCTCCTGGAATGTTCCCTATTTAGACATTTTGTTGATTATGAGCTCTTGCAGTAAGTTTGGGGCATTCGACAAGTGGGGGAGGAGGAATCTTGAGCTACCTTTTAGGACTGAACCTTCAAAGCTCATACACAAGGGAGGGAAATGCCACGTTTAAGAGTACAAACCTTTGCCCTTCGCTCGTAGTCTATAATGGTTGTTTTAAGGCATTAAAGAAGTTTTCTTATAAATTTTACCGGGGGTAGTGAAGGGCAATCCTGAGAATAAGGGATACGGACATAGAAAGCCTAGTCTGTTCCAGGACTGTGGCGGAAGTGCTGTAAAATGAGGTGTCCATCTGCCACCCACAGACTAAGTCGGTTTCCTAAAGTGTTCAATGGCTCACTGCGCTTCCTGATTATCAGTGTGTATGAGCTAGATAGCCACCCAGCAACTGTGATATGAGTGCGATCCGGAGGCCGGTTTCTCTGTGCGCTGGGTAAGGCATAATTTACACCCAGCGGACTAGGGGGACTGAAGAATGGCTGAGTTGTTTACTTCGGAACTCACCGGAGTCTTTCTCTAGGAAAATGGGCGAAGCGACCTATTAGCGCTCACAGAATTTGGGAGCAATATCTAAGTGGAATTGTCGCTGCCATCTCACCTTCCTTGAACGAAACCGGGTGCGAGGTGGCGGGAAGGTGATTAGAAGAAGCCTTCAGGAGTCCCGCTTTGTGTTTCCCAGCCCTATGCTCCTGGGGCGCAGAGAAGATGGGTACATTGCGTACTACAGTTTGAGAGCTCTGCCTGATAATTGGACATTCTCTTGTTAGATTTCGAGGCAAGAAGCCGAAGCACCACACCGCCCCCTTTACGGGCTCCTTCTCTAATCACCCGCGAGCCCAGAACCGCCTCAGGTAGTCTGAGGCCGGCCAGGGAGTCTCCACCTCCACGCTAGCAGCAGCCATTCGATGCGCTCAGGCGCCGAGGGGGTGGGGCCCATTGGCTGGGGGGCGCTGCCACTCTCGGGAGGGGGTGTGGTGGGGGTGGGGTCTCGGACCGCCGCGGGTCCAACTGCTCACTGTTTGCTGGGTAGTGGGTGAGTTTGAGCGTGAGCGGGGCTGCTGGAGACTTGAGAACAGTTCAGAACGAGCAAGCTCACGCCAGAGAGGGAGAGAAAGAGAGAGAGGGAGTGAGAGAACGGGCGAGCGAGAGTGAGGGAGTGCGAGGGAACCTAGAGGAGTCAGGGAGAGAAAGCGAGGGCCAGAGGAACCACGATAGAGACGGAGTGAGCATGTCTGTCTCCGCACCTCCGGTGATCTCTGCAACTTCCAGTGGTACCTGCGTCCCGGGGGCTTTATTTCGGGCCGAACCCCTATACTCCACTCCGGGAGAGCCCCCTCGTCTCACCCCTAATATGATCAACAGTTTTATGGCCAATAACCACAGCGGCAGCGCCGGGAGTGGCGGGGTCGGTAGTGGCAGCGTTGGCAGCTGCAACACCAACACCAACGAGTGCCGGATGGTCGACATGCACGGGGTGAAGGTAGCTTCATTCCTGATGGATGGCCAGGAACTGATCTGCCTGCCGCAAGTCTTTGATCTTTTCCTCAAGCACCTGGTGGGTGGGTTGCACACGGTGTACACCAAGCTGAAGAGATTGGACATATCTCCAGTGGTGTGTACCGTTGAGCAGGTCCGGATCCTCCGCGGGCTGGGGGCCATCCAGCCTGGGGTGAACCGCTGCAAACTCATCACCAGGAAAGACTTCGAAACTTTGTTCACTGATTGCACCAATGCCAGGTGAGACACCCATTTGTTGACTCACATGCTGCTCTTGCCCCTTTGCCCTCTTTTGCATGTCTCATCCCCCTCATCCAACTTTGTCTGTAGAGAATGAGTCTTAACCAGCTTGCCTCTTCATATTTTAAATCGGTGGGGAAAGAGGACTAGAAGGACTCATTAATTGCGGGTCCCTTCTAGTCCCTGCTCAGTGGTAGGGCTGGGGTCTAAAAAAAAAGTCCCGCACAAACTTCAGTTTGCAGTCCTCTACTGAAACTTTCCAGCCTTTCTCCCATATCTTGCATGGCTTTTTGGCTGCTTGTGTTTATTTGTTAATTTCTCTATTTGGTTTTCTTTCCTGCTCTTTTGTGGCCTTGCGGGTCGGGTAGTTTTTCTTCTGAACACCGACACCAGGGGCTTTCTCTGGGGGCTGGCTGAGCTATAAACCGGGCTCCAACGCTGGCAATCCAGAAAACAGCATTTGGGGAATGCAGGGGGCTGGAAGTCTAGAATCCATCCCAGAGGGTGATTCAATCCCCATCCTGTAAGTTTGTTGTGAGAATGTGTGGAATGCATACTGCTGTTTGTTATTGGTAGTGATTGTGTGTGCGCGCAAGTGTGTGTAAGGAGGAGTGCTCATGCCTGCTGCGCAAAGCTCCCTGGTACACGATACAGGAAAGTAGATTAGTCTTGTTTAAAAAAAAAATTAAAAAAAAAAAAAAAAAAAAAAGACCGCAGATGTCACTTTCCTGGGATCGTCTCTTTTGGGTAATCTACAGAAGGTAATGTGGGGCATGAAACGCTGGGGCTGGGGCTGGGTTGGGGGTTGGTATAGAAGTTGGTAGGTTTTCTAGAGAAGATGCTCTCAGCTCTTCCCCCCCACCAGGCAAACAGTTGGAAGGATCCCATTCCCTCAAAGAGAGGATTCCTTAAATGATGATGGCCAGCTTCCCTGGTTGTAAGTGTGCCTCCTTCATATCACAGTTCAGAAGTACATTGAAGTATAAATGTCCATTTGCACATCAGAAGCAAATTGTGTTCAATGGTTTGAGTAAAAAGGAAAAGAAACTATATTCCAGATTATTTGATTTTTTAAAAATATCGGTGAATTAGTCTTTATTTAGTTTATTTGATTTCTAATCTGTTAATATCTACAAAAGTATATATTTGGCATTTGAGATTGGCGTACAAACTAAGAAATTACCATCACCAGATTTACTCGAGCAAAGGGTTTTGTTGTAAAACGCCACTACTATTTATTTTGCAAAGAACTTTGGAGGTACACTGTCTCGGTGCAACTTTATATGATCATATCTCTGGGTCTATGATCTAAAACTATAACTCAGTTACCACATTTATGGTAAAATGCAAATCACTGTTTAGTTGAAAGTGTACTGACAACTTGTAGACAAACTGTTGCTTACTATTACAATAAGATAATGCTGCAGAATTTACAATGGAACATTTTATTTTTTTCCTTTGAGAAGTGTTCTGGATTCAAGCAATTGAACAGAAACCTGTTCATGTGAGAACTCCTACCTAATGCATATTTAGGGCTTACAAACCTAGTTCATTAGATCAGCTTTTCTTAAGAAAGATAGATGACCTTAAAACACAAAGGATAAAGGCTTCCTCCAATAAAACAAGCAATTATGGGCTGTAAGAGTAGAAAGAAAATTTTACTTTGACTACAAAGCATTTTACTAATATATGAATTCAAAAGATTACAAGGAACTTCATATAGGGGCCATCTAATTCATGTTACCTTTCAAAAACACTTGTATTTAAATAATTACAGACATGAAAACCTATCCACTTACCTCTTTCTTCCTCACCTCTCTACTTTCCTATCCTTTCCTCTCCTCCCTTCTTATAAACATCCATTCTTAAAGTGAACAATTATTACATATAGGAAGTTCTTCCTTCCATGATAATTAATTTATATATTCTTGAACAAAATCTATGTATTTTAAAAGTAAATAGATTAATATTTTATTGTCATTTTGATGCTTTCCTTTTTAAATAGAAACTTTTCTTTAATTTTTATAGAGCTTCTTGCTGAAAGGGAAAGTGATTAATTTCTATATACTCAGAGACAGGTAGTCTTATTCTATTTTTGTTATAATACACCTTTATTATTTTTTAATCCAATTAAGTTTTATTTGCTTCTTATCAGAGCATTTGAGTTTCTAACTTTTTTAGCTTGAATTGCTTTTGTGTATGTATCTGTATAAAGGTGAGAGAGACATATTAAATACAGAGAAAGAAATATATTTGTGATATGATGAATGTGCTTTCTATTGCATTTTCTTTTCTTTATAGGTCTTTTATTTATTAGATTCATTTTCTATAACTGTGTTACAAGCATTGCAATATAGAATTGTTAAAAATTGTGAAATATATTGTATGTATTCAATTCATAAATGAAGATGAGGAAAATTACTAGAAACACACCTACATTGCAATTTTTAGGTAGGGAAAAACCCATTTCTAGAAAAATCTAATAGTAAAATAACATTACCAAGTTTTGTTGTGCAAATACCCTCATAATCATGTTGTTAAAAACTACTAGATATAATGATGGTTATGGAAGATGCTTTTTGAATTTTGGTAACATTTACAGACTATGTACTTTAAATTATTCATAAATCAGAATTTAAAAATTAAATTTGAAATTAATATTTAGATCAACATTATTTCGATGATTTTTAAATTCAGTGAAAAATGAGGGATCTAAATGAGAAGGAGGAACAAGAGAGACAACATGAGGCAGATAAGACACAAGGCCAGTAAGAGAGAAGAAATGTAGGAAAAGAGCAGAATGATGACATGAGAAAGAGAGAAAGATGGAGAAAATCTTATAGAGTTGTCTAAAGAAAATGAATAATGTGCTAATGGAAACCTGGCTAAAGAGCATTGTCCTTCAGGACTCATGACTTCTTACAGCTTCTAGCTAAAGGTGAAGGGGAGAGAAGTGCCATGAAAAATTATGCATTAGGTTGAATGGAAACTCTCACATACTATTCTTATTTTAAAAGAGGAGATTCGTTTTCATCTCCAATGTATAAATTTTCATAATATATTATTGAATGGAAGGACTATTTGTATTGGTGTCATTGGAAATTTTCTTTTCCTGCATTATTCCCCATCTGTCAAATGTGTGGGGAAGAGTACATGTCCTGATTTAGTGTATTTTAATTTGGAATGCCTTATGCTATCCCAGGACACATAAAATGGACCATTTTCAAATTTGTCCTTTTCAGAGACTTTAATACATTGTCACTAAGTAGCATCTTGATTTGGTTCAGTGCACATTTTATCAATGTGCTCTGAAGATAAATGAATGAATACACATCATTTTTTGATAGTGTGAAAGTCACTACAGCATCTCAAACAGTACCTTATATTAACTGTTTTGTTTTAGTCAATTACTGAAATATTCAAAGTTTTTTTTTCTAGAAAAGAAGTTGGGAAATAATATCTTCTTCAAAAACTAGGAAATTGTAAGACTAAAACTCTTGACCATACATTGTTCTATTAAGTGAAGCTTTACATCACTGGAATTTCAAAGGGCTATACGGTATTCTCCCTTCATGATCTTTAACTTTAAAAAAATAATTATAGGGAAATTATTTTGAGAATTATTAAGAAAATGGTGAATAAAGGGTCCAAAACCAAATGAAAAATTATTATATGGTTTTAGACTTTGTTTTTGAAGATAAAACACTATGGGTTTCTCTTCATTTCTTATACAACAAAACTTGGAGTTTTTCAATACCAGAGAAAAGAGGCAGATTCAGAAAGCAAACGCCTAAAATTCTCACTATTATGCAGTGGATTTTACTACTAAATTGTCCTAAGTTTAGTAGCAGTAAAATATAAAATTGGTTTCACTAAATTGGGAATCATCCACGACATTTTAGTGTTACTTTTTAAAATCTACCTATCTATATGAGAGTAACATTGTTGGATTTCATGATTGGCATTTAATTTTGTTTGAGGAGCAACTGACTGAATGTTATTCAGTCACTTAGAGTTAAATGGATGCTTGAAGAAACAAGAATGTATAATTAAGAAGACACTTTAATAATGTATTTGGGGATATGCTTCAACATATATTTAAATGTATAAAATTCACTTTTTAAAATTAAAATTCAAAATAGTTCAATTATAGTTCATTTTGACAGTGTGTAAACAGAACATAAATGTGGCTTGATATTAGACTAACTTTATGAGAAGAATAATGATGTTTACAACATTTTAAAACTAGTTTCCAATACTAGAAATATGATTATTGTAAGCAGTCGATGAGTTTGGCTTTGTATTCACACTTGATGAATACTTTGTAGTTCATGATCCGTACAGAATAATGTAATTTATTTTGAAAACTGATGTTTGGCATTTACAGTAAAGTTAAGCAACATACAATTATTAAAGAACTTGTATCGCTTTCTTGGGCTGATATATATTTTCAGAAATGATAAAAAGGTTCTAGAAATGAATCCAGGCAGTTAATACAGACATTTTATTTCAAAGGATGACGATGAGATAGTCATATTGTCCATTACAAGCAGTCACATAGTCAACAATGCTGTGTCTTTTATAAGAAGAATGGTATCAGGATTACAATTAAAGTAATCTAGTCATATGCTAATGTACAGAACTTGTGTGTGTATATTCATTTTAAATCTATATTTCTGCATAACCAATAATTTTTGTATTTATGCAAATACTTTAACTTGTATTCAAATTTGTCTTAAACACTCATTTACTGGGTGATGGATACTATATTAAAGAAATGATCCATGACATGATAGAGTATATCTTTGAATTTTTATGTACATTACCCTCAATGTCTAGTATATGAACACCAATAAATAATTAGGATGTGATCGTCTTCAGACAATATTGTTTTATGTGGCTTTATACAGGAATTCCTAATACTTATAGAAGATATCAAACCTGAATTATTTTATACTTTGTTAAGTGACATTATTTTGTCTTAATGAAATACCTAGTTG